AACCTTTAACAGGGCAACTCCAAAGCTCTGTGACACAGTGTTCCTTGCTGAGTCAAAGGCAAGGCTCACATGTGCAGACCTGCCAAAACCTGCCTTCCTCAGCCAGCTGAAGGATTTCAGGCTGGAATTCCTCCTTAATGCATTCAGACTCAGCTCTCATCATTTACCACAGCAGTGTACTTGATTCTTAGAAGAAATATTGGCTTGTATACTTTCGGTAGCCTAAGTGTCCTGATTTCCAGTGGAGATAAAAATCTGTATGTTTACACACCAAGTTTTCCCATCCTATTTACTGTCCACAGCCTGGAGGCTGGTTTGGAGGCAATGACACAGTCAGCATCACTGGTACAAAACTACATCACCACTCTTTCAGGGATAAGCTCAGGGCAGGCACAGAACTCACTGTGCTCACTGTTTACAACACAGCCTTTACTTCTTTTGTCAATACACATTTTCATAACACATTCTTTTAAAAACCACCACTTAAATGCTGACCAGTTCGAAGTAACCTGCACAAAAGTACAACATTGCTTTCAAATATGTTCATATGTTCTTGAGAACAAGTGGCATGAGGAGAGGCTGAGAGAGCTGGGGGTGTTCAGCCTGGAGAAGAGGAGGCTCAGGGGAGACCTTAGCACCCTCTGCAACTCCCTGACAGGAGGTGGGAGTCAGGTGGGGGTTGGTCTCTTCTCCCAGGCAACCAGCAGCAGGACAAGAGGGCACAGACTCAAGCTCTGCCAGGGGAGGGTTAGGTTGGATATTAGAAGAGATTTTTTACAGAGAGAGTGCTCAGGCATTGGAATGTGCTGCCCAGGGAGGTGGTGGATTCACCATCCCTGGAGGGTTTCAAGCTGAGACTGGATGTGGCACTTAGTGCCATGGGCTAGTAACGATGGTAGGGTTGGACTTGATGATCTTTGAGGTCTCTTCCAACCAGGCTGATCCTATGATTCTATGATTCTATATCTTTATCACACTCTTGTAACATGACAAAGTGTGAAAACATATTCCAGACAGTAAGTTTCACAATATAAAGACACAGTTTCAGTGAAGTTCATTACAGGTGCTATGCTAGAAAGTTTACTTCAAACCTTGGTCCTCGCACTGCTGGTTCTGTATCAGATTTATTCAACTCATACAATTTAACAGCTCTTTCTGAAAAGTTCCTCTCCTGCCATTGATTACAGCAGGCCACCTGCCTCTGCTAATTAGCAGTATCGTGCCTGGTTGCAGCTCTACAAGGAGAAAATAGATTGGCTCTTTGGCTGCTGCATTGTGTTCTAGAAGACCAGAGGCTGTTGAATCTGTGACTCTGTGTCCTATTCCTTCAAAAAGGCTTTAAAACTTACTACACCATGTGATACCTCAACCGAGTACTGCAAACCTGTAGCTAAAATTCTCATTTTTCCTAAGTCTTCTTCAACAGGAGTCTGTAGAAGTCGATCATTCTAGACAGATCTGTGATTTCAGCACTATTTAAACACACAATTAACATTTAAAAATTATACACATGGATAAAACCAGGTATCATTAGTCACTTATTAGTCACCTTCAAAACAGGCAGCATGTTCATTATGTTAATGTCCTTGGAGTGTTTAAAGCAACCTTTTGCATTTGAAGTGGAGGCTCTTGGTAAAAGGTGGCACTTAATAAGAAATGGCAATTAATAAGAAATGGCAATTACCGAGCATGTTCCTCTCCAGAAGATTGCAATATGAATTTTAATTTCTTCCTGACCATGTAGCAGCTAAGGCTAATACAGACATTTTAGTTTAGAAGCAGTAGGAAGTACAGTAAAAGTGAAAACCAAAATAAGAGACGACACTAATCTTCTCTGAGTTTCAATTAAGGCCCAGCACCTCCGGATTAAAGGCTTATTTTAACGAAATGCCTTAATTAAGCATACATGTGTACAGGATCACCTTAATGAGGTATGACAGAAATAGAAGAGATGGCAAACATTATTTTAAAAGAAGCTTATTAACAAGTAAGAAATTCAGTCAAAGATTCCTTAAAAAAAAAAAAAGAAAGACAAGAATTGTGAACCAAGTTTATGCATAAAACAGCTAAATCAAAATAGGTACAAGAGGTATTTTTCAGTATCTTTGTACTCCAATTGATACATATTAATGATTTTTCTACACATCAGTAGGTTTGATTTTGTAAAGAAAATCAAGATTTCTGCTTTATTTGCTCATTTAAATTTATTGCTAAAAATCTTCAAAAGTTTATATAGTAAAATATCCCTCATCACATTACTGAGTCAGGTTTGGTATCAGGCAAACTTGTAAGTTCACTTTAAAAACCATTATTTTATCTTTTTATTCCTGCCTTTAGAAACAATCAGTGATTTCATGTCATTTTAAAGATAGCCACTTCAGTTGCTTTTTACATTTTCCCCAACAGTACAGAGAGGTATTCTCATTTGCAGATTTGACTTTAAAGTAATTACTCATAATTACAGAGAAGTGCATCCAGTGGATTAATCACTCCATTTATATGCTGCTGGAAGGATTAGTCTCAGGACAGCCTCACTGCTTTTTGCTCAGAAAATGTCAGTTTCACAAGAAAACAAATCTCTCAAGTCAGTAGCAGCTGAGAAGGACTCTGACAACTATTTAAACCCAAAAGATTAAAGAAATGGCACACCTGGACTTGAGGCAGCATCTGTATGAGAAATAGTCATTGTCATGAGAAATAAAAGGCTGCCAAGTGAGAATAACCAGGAAAATGGCCACAGGAAATCTACACTTCTTCTAGGGGACTAGAAGTACCTTTGCATCATTTTGGATCTGGAAGAAACACATCTAAGACAAGGACAATGCTTCTGGCTCAGGAAGCCACACTGAAGCCTGGAAATCCTTGAAGGAGCTGCTGCAGTACATGAAGTCTTGCCATCTCCCTGAGCCATTTGGTGCTTCTGGCTCAGGAAGCCACACTCTGAAGCCTGGAAGTCCTTGAAGGAGCTGCTGCAGTACATAAAGTCTTGCCATCTCCCTGAGCCATTTGCTTTTTTGCTGTGGCCAAAGATTGGACACTAGGTGACAAATATCTTTGTTTGATCCATATGGATACTGTTCATCTGTTCTCTTTGCATAGATTTATTCATCATTTTTAATGGTGACTCTTAAAGAGTTGCCAAAGACACAGGTCACCCAAAGTGGCAGTGAGAAGCTGGTGAAGGGTCTGGAGCACAAGTTTTATGAGAGGCTGGGGTTGTTTAGGCTGGAGAAAAGGAGGCTCAGGGGGGACCTTAGCACTCTCTACAAGTAACTGAAAGGAGGTGGTAGCCAGGTGAGAGTCAGTCTCTTCTCCCAGCTAACAAGCAATAGGACCAGAGGAAACAGCCTCAAGTTAGGCCAAGGGTGGCTTAGATTCAATATTAGGAGACATTTCTTCGCTGAAAGGGCCAAGGGTGGCTTAGGTTCGATATTAGGAGACATTTCTTCGCTGAAAGGGTTTTTAAACATTGGAACAGGCTGCCCAGGGAGGTGGTAGAACTACCATCCCTGGAAGTCTTCAAAAAAAATGTGTAGATGTGGCACTTAGGGACAGGATTTGGTGGTGTTTGTGACAGTGCTGGGTTAATGGTTGGACTCAGTGATGTTAGAAGTCTTTTCAAACCTAAATGATTCTATAAATCTATGCTAATCACAGAGCCTGCCTCCCATCTTGCCACCTGCCAGGTTAAAAACAGCTCTGAAGTTAAAAATACACAGTAAAAGTTGAAAAACACAGAGTGAAAAACAGTCTTCAAGGCCAAATGCACAAGGAGGTTCTGCCATCACAAATGAACACTGACCCCCACGGTACCACATAGGCACAGGGGCTAAAGGGGAAAATACCAAGCAGGGAGGGTGGGAGAGAACAAGCATGGAGCTTCAGTGCTGGGGAAAATCACCAAGGAGCCATTCCCAGGGACACCCCTAAGGGCACTGAGCAGGGCCTGGCCAAGAAAGGCTCCATCCAACCCACTGAAGTGAGGACCAGGCTGGGAGGTGCATTGCCCAACCATACGGCCACAGAAGTGGGGCTGGGGCTGTGAGAGGAAAAAGGACAAAAGATTGAAAAGTGCAGCAAGGCCATGGGCTGGAGCAGGTGCAAAGCCAGGAGCAAGGCCAGTGGTGCCATCAGGGGGACAGGCTGCATGGCCTGGCTGGCAGGGAGCAATGCCCTCATAGCATCATTATGGTTGGAAGAGACTCCTAAGATCATGAAGTCCAACCATTAACCTAACACGATCAGGTCCACCACTAAACCATGTCCTTAAGCACCACATCTACACTTTGCTGCACAGACACAGTGCTGCTCCATGTGTGGGGCCATGGTGGTGACAGCACTGCCCCTCTGGTCACACCATCCTGAGCCATAACTGGAAACCTCAGGGCTGGCTGTGATAGCAAAGGAAAAACTACACACTGAAATGTCCAGCTCTGGGTCCCTCACCAGAGAGAGGACAGGGACCTGCTGGAGTAAGTCCAGAGGAGGCCATGAAAGATGATCAGGGGGCTTGAGCACCTCTGCTATGGACACAGACTGAGAGTTGGAGTTGTTCAACTCAAAGAGAAAGATCTAGGGAGACCTTATAGCACCTTCCAGTTCTTAAAGAGGCTGCAAGCGAGCTAGAGACACTTTACAGGGCTAGGGAGGGATAGGAAAAGGGGGAATGGCTTGACACTGAAAAAGGGTAGATTTAGATTAGACATTAGGAAGAAATTCTTTACTGTGCTGAGGCACAGGAACAGATTGCCAAGAGAAGCTGTTGATACCCCATCCCTGGAAGTGTTCAAGGGGCTTTGAGCAACCTGGTCTAGTGGAAGGTGTCCATGTCCATGGCAGGAGGATTGAAACTAGATGATCTTTAAGGACCCTTCCAACCCAAACCATCCTATGATTCCATGAAACAGAACAGTGTTGTAATGCAGTAGCTCTTATTTTCTAGAGCCAGTGTTAAAGGGTCTCACCTCCCTCTCTGCCAGACTCCACTCTGCTACTGAGCCATGTTCTCCTGCTGCACCAACGAGGATGCTGAGATCACAGCAAGCAGCTTCAGCCCCAAAGGGGCTGCTGACCTCATCCCTGTTGTATGTATCACAGACTTCCTTGTCTGCAGTAAGGTAATCTTGCAGAGCAGTTCAATGGGGTTTGTTGCTACAGTCATATTTTTCCTCAGTTCAGCTTGAAATTTTTGACTCCTGCTATTCTGTGTACATTACAGGCAGTCCACTGGGGGTGAAATAAAGCTGACTGGAGAGGACAAACTTGATGGTTTGTGGATCCAAAGTTAACTTCTGTGCCTAGAATAGATGGTAAGCTCTCTCCCATGGGAGCACCAGGAGAAAACGAGTGAAATTATAGGTTTCTCCTCTGATGTGGCTCTTTCTGCTGAGAAATATTATTCATGCTCTTGCACATGTCTACTTGTAAAGATACACAATTCTTGTAAAATCAGTTAAAGATTATCAATGAAACCTCATGATTTTACATGGTACAAATTCACATCTTTTAAAATACAGAGAAGGGTGGGGAGAAATGGAGGAGTAGGTAGATAAGCCCATTCCCTGTATAAAAATAATACATTCTTGTTTATATTCAGGGTTCTGGAAGGCAAAGTTAGCCTTTGGGATTGTTTTTAATCATATGAAGTTAAAATGTGTTCGGGCATGCCAAACTTTTATAGTCCATAATGAGTTTATTGCATATAACAATTATGGGCCCAGTAATTAAAACTTTAAAATTACCAGTGTTTTATTTAATATAAATGATAAATCAAAGATTTCATTTGACTTTTTATAAGTTAAAACAAGGATGTGTCAGAAACATCAATCTTAAATTTCATATTATGGTAATTGTATGTTAGGATTCAAGTCCTGGAGTTGTATGTGTATAAAAGCCTTTGACAAGGCAAAAATGTTGGCTAAGAGGAGAGTTTCTTTGAATTTAGTATAATATGTATGGTTTAAAATAATTTATAACAATAATTATTTGAGGTTGGTTGGGATTTTTTGCTTTTCAGGGCTGCTCCTCCAAACCAGAGATAATAGCAGTTTCTGCAGTTGCTCTAGTGTCATATAATACACAGTCATCAGCTCCAGGATCTTTCATTTGCAGATCCTTTTAAGTCAAGGACAAGAAATACCAAGAACATTTACAGACCTATGAGGAAAGAAATGGTCAGAATAGCAGTAGCTGCTGGACTAAGAAAAAGCAGCACCCACCTTAGAGACATGGAAGGTGCAGAAAAGGAGTATTTTCTTGATCCCAGTCCTCCACAGCTAACATTAGGTAAATCATTCTGATTTGTAATTTTTGGTTTTATTTCAAATAAGCTAAAAGAAGGAAGCTAAGCTCTCTGTTCTGTAAGATAATTTAACGTTAAACAGCATAATATCTTGTTTTAAAATTTGTCAAAATTCAGCAGTTTAGGCCATTAGGTAAACAATGGAATTGCTATCAGGAGCTTGAATATGTCTTTTCATATCTGAAATGTATTTAAAAGTATTATTCTTGTGACAATGAAGGTAAAAAGGAAGAAGCTAGTGCATCCTGATGAAGACAAATTCTTTATGAAGAGGTGAGAAGTATTTTACACTTTTTAATGTATATTGACTGTCATAACTTTCTTTACTGTTCAAGTCTCAAGAAAACATCCATGATTATGATACTGTATTTATTGGGGGGAATATTTTATCATTAAGATTATTTTTTAAGTCTATTTGAAATGGTGCATTTTATTCTGTAAAAAGATATTTACTAGTGCTGCATGAAATGTATTCTTTATTAATATATACCCACCTTTACTCAAAGTTAAAAAGCTTTGCTTTTACAATGGGCCTGGGGCTAAACCCAGGAGGAATTAACACCTGTAGCTAAATACCTTTTGCAAATTTGGAAGCAAACATGCAACAAGATAAAAGTCACAGATGTGAGGACTTGGAATGATGCCTGGTGAGAAAACTCACTTTTAAACAGCATAATACAGTTGTAGAGCAGCCACAGATGATATTGCTTAGAAAAACAAAGTCAGGGACCATCCTAACAATCCACGAAACCAAATGTGCTTCTTGCCTCTGTTTCACTCTTCCACTTCCCTTACCTAAATATTTCTACAGTATTCTTGCCATGAACATTTTGTCTCCATAATTTCAGTTGCTTTGATTAGGCATTACTTAAAGGACCTTTTGGCTCCACAATTTGCAGTTTGAAGCATAATAAACTTTCATCATCATTAGCAATGATTTTATTTATTATTTTTCATGAAAAAAATCCCTTAGGCCTCCTTGAAGATCATGTTGCCTTTGCTGTAGTAACTGTCACAATCATTTCAGCTCTAAAGGGAACCATGTAAACCAGTGCTGCTCCATATGAGCAGACACTTGGAATCAGCTGAAGGTTGAGGGAAACTTTAGGTAACACACATGAAATGAGTGTAACAAGTGCTAGGGCAAAGGTAGTAAGGCAAGTTGATTATTCCTATGTTTAGATGGTTCTAGTTCTAAAGATGCAAGGGTGTTTTTTTTTTTCTTTGGTTCATTTTGAAGAGGAACTTGAAAGAAGAAAGGATAACAGGGGGAAAACAGCAAAGAGGTACCAGGGTTAACACAAATATAAATAATGAGTGATTAAGAAAGCTAAAGGTTGTGGTGAAAAAATGCAGCCCAAGTGTGAGCATGTTCCCTGCAATTATAAGACAGACAAAGCATTTTCTCTTTAAATCTCAGCATTGACTGAAATGTCCTCTATGACTTTTCATACAAATGATCCAAAAGAATGTGCTAAAATATGTTTTACAACTGCAATTGTTTCTGGGGTTTGCTTTTTAGTATTTTCACTGACATTATTTTAAAATGCTTGAGTCAAACTTTCTCTTCTTAATAAGAGTTGTGTGGTTTAAACCTTACAGCTGCAAAACCACTTGGAAAATGTTGTGGGTATTCAACCAAAATCTCAAAGGGTTCTATCATTCATTTTTTCCAGTCCTAAAATCAGATAATAGTTTAAAGGTTAGTGCATGTAATTACTTTGCTTCATTTTAGGAAAACTAACTCGGTTGTAGATGTGTGCATCAGCAAATGGATTGGGCTTGTCAACTTGATGCATAAGGATGAAAATTCTTGGCTGCCTTGAGCTGTGATAAATGTACATTTTCATTGGTTGCATTTTTTTCAAAGTGCTGCTTTGCAAATATCTTCATAGAGCCTTTTGCTTTGACCACATATCCCTTCTTGCATTTCCTGCTACCAGTTTTCCTTTGTCAACTATGTTCTAGAAGAGTTTTCCTTCTAAACACCTGTGTAGTATGTCCCTCACAAATATCCCATCTGGCAGATATTTTTTAGAAGTTAGGTTTTGCCACCAATCTGTTCCTATTTGGCAGCTTTAATAAGCATTTTTTTCCTTATTCTGGGGTATACAGAAGGCTTTCCACAAAGCCATCTCATTTTTTTCCTTAATACAGTGTCTGACCACAGTGCTTGAAAGGAAATCAAGGGTAAGCATTTATATGTTGTGATACTCTTTCATGCTGTGACTATTTGCTTCCTTGTTCACTTCCTCTGTACCCAGATTTTCTCATCAGAAAGGGCTGTCACTCACATACATGTTGGACTATCAAAACAGCATCTTGTTTCTTGATACCTTTACAGAGGGAACAAAAGTAAGAAAGTGGGGTCTATGTGAACCAAACCACATGTGGAGAAAACACTCTCCATGTTATTCCCAAAGCATAAACTGACCCAGCTTGAAGCCTCCAAGCCATCCTAGTGTTCTAAGATATGGAATCAAGTTGGTTTACTTTTGAAGGATGTCATGAACTCACAGGTTAGGCAGATAGTACAACTCAAGGGAAGAAAGCATTACTTGTCATTCCTTTAGCACCTCACAAAACTTCTTTAGAAAGATCAAAAGCAGTTTGTGCAAATTTTAAATGATTAACGATAGACACCTGTAGATGGATGCGCTCAGAAGCAGAATTTCTGTCTCAATAATTAACAAATCCTGGCCTAGAATAATGAGATGCTTGAGCAAGGGGATCACCAAGAACCTCATTCTCTGGTTTGCTGGGATTCCTTTCCCTAGTACAATGATTTCGATACACAAGCTCCCTCATGGGGTTTTGAAAGCTTATATAGAACAAATATGTGCTGCCTAGTAATGTCTGATTTGTGCAAAGATTTTGGTGTGAATGAGTTTACGCTTCCCATTTAGAACTAGAGCTGTCACCAAGGTGTCATCAGCTTGCATTGCAGTTATTGTATGTCCCTCCTCTTTTCTTGTTTCCTCAGACATCATTGAGGCCTCAGCACAGACTCATGTTATTGGCTTATTACACACACCTTGAACATTCCTCCATGGACTTGGGCCAATCCACACAAGCTGCCTCAAATATGACAAAGATCTGTTCTTTGCTGTACCTCCTAGCAAATGTTTTTACTACTGAGATATTGACCCTGGACTTCATCTGCCATTCCTGCAGGCAGGAATATTGTACTTTCACTGATTCTGTCTTTAAGGAGGCAGAGATTTCACATGAACATGTAGCCATGCATTTGAGGTCAACAAGCTCAGCCATGGCAGTGACACCATCACTGGTGTTTTGTGACCATCTCTTTGCTTCTTTATCTTCTTCTTTTCTTTTGGCTATGTCACCATCTCATTACTTCAGTATTTTGCAGCAGTAACAGTTTTTTATCACACCATTTTTTTCATTTTTAGTTTTCAGAATACCGCAGCAGCAACAGTTTTTTATCACACCGTTTTTTTTCATTTTTAGTTTTCAGAATACAGAAATGCAATGCTGAAGCAAACATCACAAATTCATTCTAACAGATGTTTTATTTATACTGATTGTTGGAAATTATGTTATTGTGCATTGTTACATCTTTCAGTTAATCCCACCCTGATAGCTCTGAAAAGGTATCAAAATAAATCCAAATTACTCAGCAAATAAAAGTTTACATTGAAAAAAAATCCTGCATGTAAAAGAGGTTCTGATAATTACTGAGTAGCTAATTCATTAATGGTTGGAAGGAACATTAAAGATCATCCAGTTCTAACCCCCTGCCATGGACAAGGATACCTTCCACTAGACCAGGTTGCTCCAAGCCCCATCCAACCTGGCCTTGGACACCTCCAGGAACAGGGAATCCACACTTTCTCTAGGCAACCTCTTCCAGTGCCTCACCACCCTCAGAGTGAAGAATTTCTTCCTAATATCTAGTCCAAACCTGACCTCTTTCAGTTTGAAGCCATTCTGCCTTGTCCTATCACTACATTACCTTGTCAAAAATCCCTCTCCATCTCCCTGATAGCACCTTTATGTACGTAGTAGAAAGAAGTTTGTTGCCTGCCAGTGGTTTGCCTGATGATAGATTCATATGAAGTATCTGTATAAACTATTTCTAAGTGCATTATTGATGAATTTCATATGAAGAAAATCCATTGTCTGCAAATGCCAGTGGGTTTTATTCAGTTATTTGTTGTTATGGCCCACAGCTTGGAAATCAAGCCTAGCTGAGCCTTGTTCCTTGCCATTACCTGCTGAAGAACAGATATAAAGGAAGCACAGAGCCACACAGCATGGAGACTCCACACAGCCTTGTACAATATGCAGGGAAAAACTTGCACTCCAGCCTAGGGTACATGTATAACTGGTTAATTGTGTAGACTACACAATTGTGTTCACTTTTTTTTTCTTGAATGACTATTGAAAGCCATTAGCTGGAGCAAGAAAGGAAGGAAGAATTCTACTGTAGACACCATCTAGCATTTAATAACTGGACCCAGCAATCAGTGTCCAACTCTGATAGTATTTTGGACATGACATGGTAGAGGAAGGTTTGTGGTATTTGTTCACTTCTGAAGTTATGACAGCAGAGAAGGTAATCAGCTTTTTTATCTGTTCTTGCAAAGCAGGTATAGCCTAATTTCTGCTTCATTTAAACTCCTCTTAGATATGGTCCTGCCCTTCATTCATCAGAATGGTACACATCTGCTATTTATAGATTTCAAGATATATTTTGTTTTCTCACAAGTTTTGTAAATTGCAGCTTAGCACTAGAGTTATTTCTATTTGGAAAATGGAGGTAGGTGTACATTTAATCCCAGTCAGTCATTCCTTAGGTTACCTGATGAAATGCCAGCATTTTACCCTGATGGCTTTGTTCAGTGCATGTGTGGAGCATAAGCATAAATACATCATGCTTTATTACATTCTCTCATCTATCATCTTGAAAATATTACGCAAAAGGGACAAGTGACTGAGTGAAGAGAGTGCTGCTTCAGAGAGGTGATGATGGTAATTAGAGGAATTATCCCAACTGCTTGCAAGTTTCTTTCCACAGTGCATTTTTGGGTAATTTTTTTCTGTCTGTTCTCCCTTTTCATTTTTCTAGAAGATGTTTTACAGTCAAATCTGTGCTGTGAATCAAAGCCTTTCAATAACCTTAGATACAGAGGGTTTGTTTCTTTTTAGAAGGTGTACAACTGTCCAAAGACAGGTGGGATGGATCTGGAAAGATCTGCCAATTTTTGGCTCCCCTGACAGTCTGAAGCTTGACAAGAGGGAGCGAAAGACTGAACTCATTAAAAAGGTTACTTTAGATTTGGCACAAAAAGGGAAATGCCTCTGGAATTCTCTTTGTCCCTATTAGCTTTCCTCCCTCAAGGGAAAAAACCACTGTATCTGAAAGCTTTCCCCTCAGCTGGCTGCTAGCCATTAATCCTCTTGTGTTTGCCAGCTCAATAGTGCTCACTATTTCTTCTGGTTTTCACTTCTTTCCCAGTTTTTCCTTCCTCTAAGAGCCAATTGCCTTTTTTGTCCAAGTCTGTATCTTTTGTCGGGATGGAGATCATCAGCATTTGGTGGGAATTTAGGTCAGATAAAGATGAAGTTTTCTTGTAGCCTGTGAACATATTTTCTCTTTTGTTTTTTTTAGTGTGTGTGAAATGCTGCATTTGATGTTTATCCCTTCTTGAAATTTAACTTCTCTGTTGGGAAAAAAAATAATCAGCTTTCATTTTAAGTGTTTGTTTTATAATCTTTTCCTCCAGTCGGTAGCAGTTGCCATTTATTGGTTTTTGCCCCTCCAAGTGTTGTTAGCACAAAATTGACATATTCTCAAACTAATTTTATTTTCACTGGAAAGATTGCAGTAGTAGCAGAAAGAAACTGATGAACTTTCAGGCAGTCAGAAATTTTCTTGTCAGCATTTTTTACTTTTCAGCTCTTAGAATGCTTTAAAGTCAGGTTTGGCTCTTGGGGTTATTTTTTTCCCTTTGAAAAAACAGGTGCTGCATTCATGTTCCCATGTACTCCATAAAGTGAGTACATTTTTAGATAACTATTCAAGCACATAATACATGAGTATTTTAATTAAACTACTTAAATTGATATCTTAATGAATTAAATGTAATCATCTTGAAAAGTAATTTTGATTCCAGGTTTTTATGGGAAGAAATATAATTTAAGGCTATTTTATGATGAAGCAATTTATTCTTTTTTTTATTACCTTTTTTAAAACCATATGGGAAAACATAGCTTGCAACTGAGCTCTACATGGATATACTAAGCTAGAAGAGTTTAATTCATGAAATTTCATGTGGATTTACAAATTTCTCTTAACCCTTTAATTTTAAAAATATACATCTTGTAGAGTATTCATGGATTGATGAAAAAAAGTGTTTTTACATTCTGTAATCTGTCCTGTTTCATTCGTACCAACAGCATAAAATATATTGTAAGTCATGGAAATTATTTTTTGAGGTATGCCTGAAAACCTGAGAAAAATTTATAGCTTAAAATTTGCCCTACATATAGAAAGGAACAGTATCAGACCAGAGTGATGCATAGTGGGGCTTGATTAAAATAAATTGTGCTGTTGGCTAAGCCTCACTTCAGTTACAGTTCTGTCTCTGGCCAGTATTTCTAAACAGAGTTCCAAATGTGTTAAACATTTAATAAGAAATGAGACAGAATGAATATAGGACAAGAACTGAAGTTTAAAAAAAGAATGCATGAAAATCTTGTTTCCTATAAAACACACTAAATTTGAGTTTCCTCTTCTTGAGTAAAATTGTGTCTTAGAGATTTCAAAGTTCCTGCAGGGGATATATTGCTAGAAAATGTGACAAAGACTTGAGAGAAACAGTGCCTCCTAAGGACAGCAAATTAAGAAAATGACTATTTGAGAAAAAGTAATGTTCCATTTGCTTCCTTGGTCTGTTTCTTCAGTGTGATTCAGCTCCCTTAAATCAGAACTCCTGAATATCAGCTCTCTACCTTTCCATTTATTCCTCCTTGTCTGTATCAAAGAGGCAGCACTAGAGTCACTCTGTTGTTTTGTCAGTCAGTTTGTCCCATCCTCTTTAGAATGCAGAGGTAAGGAAACTAATTTAAACATTTTATTTGAAGACCTGCCTTTTGCCAACAATACTGGGCTTTTTGTGAGTCTCTGTGTTTCTCTTCTCTTTTTGATAAATCACAGTGATCTGTTTTTCCTCTAGAATTATATGAAGGGAGTATGGTAAGCAGAGAAATGAATATATCCATAAACAATCATGATTTCTTTTTACTGTCATTGTTCTCTCACTGAACACTGGACCAGATAGTTCCATTCTGTGCCTTTGCCCCACTCTAACTTCTGCTCAGATGCAAGTCAGACTGCAATAAATTAGGGTCTTGACCCCATACAAATGAGGCCAAACCAGGTTCAAGCATTTTGCAGTGAGCCTGTTTGCCTTTCAGCACACAACTGCTGCTGCAGAGTCCTGTGCAAGCCTCAAGTTCTCCTTTGTCAACTTCCAGTCTTTCCTCAGTGTGCTGGTTTGAGCTGGAGTAGAGTTAACTCTCTTCACAGAGGCTAGTATGAGGCTATGTTTGGGTTTTGTGCAGAACACAGAGTTGATAATGCAGAGATGTTTTTGTTATTGCTGAGCAGAGCTCACACAGAGCCAAGGCCTTTGCTGCTTTCCATACTGCCACACTGGCAAGGGAGTTGGGGATGCATGGGAGATTGGGAGGAGACACAGCTGGGACAGGTGACCCAAACTGACCAAAGGGATATTCCATACCATAGGACATCATGCTCAGGATATAAAGTGGGAGGAAGAAGGAGGAAGGGGGGACATCTGGAGTGATGGTGTTTGTCTTCCCAAGGAACCGTTACGCGTGATGGTCCCTGCTCTCCTGGAGATGGATAAACACCTCCTGTCTGTGGGAAGCAGTGAATTAATTCCTTGTTTTGCTATGCTTGTGTGTGCAGCTTTTGCTTTCTCTATTAAACTGTCTTTATCTCAACCCATGAGTTTTTGTAGCTTTTACCCTTCTGATTTGCTCCCCCATCCCGTTGGTGGGGGAGTGAGTGAGAGGCTGTGTGGTTCTTGGCTGCTGGCTGGGGTTAAACCACGGCACTCAGTTTCATCACAGCCAGCCAGCTCAGCTTCTCAGTGACAAAACTGCTCAGCAACAGGCAAACTGAGAGAAGCCAATGGCCAGCCCAAGTCACCAGCCAGCCTGGTCCATCCCAGAGAGGAACAGAGCCCCACAAACTGCCAGACACATACCTAGCTGGTCCAGGCAGCTAGGAAAATCCCCTCCACCAAGCTGCCAGCTAAAACAGTGCTAGGTTTAAACCAATGCTTAAATCAGCCCCTTGGCTTTCTGTTGGTTTGGGTTTTTTTCAAATCACTGCTTTAGTTAAACAGTAGAGTGCTTGCAGGAAAAGGCTTGGTATTGTCTGGCATTATTTGTCACGCTTGCTTGGCTCTATCCTGTTGGAGGAGAGCTCTGAAGGCATTGACCCCTCTTGCTATATTCTGCATTTCTGTATGATATCAGATTGTACCCTAGAGATGACCTGGCAGACTAGTGAAACAAAACTGGTACTGCTGTTTCCAATTGTGTGGTGATGGTGGCAGGAGGGAGAGGAAATACCACTCTCAGCTTTAACACTGAGACAGATGGCTGTTTGCTGAGCTGCCTGTAGAATCAAAGTCCTTCCCTCAGTGCAGAGGAGACTGAAGAAAGCTGATGTGTCCGAGCACTTAAGTTTGGAATAAACGAATCCGTCGTTGGACTGCGACAGTCCTCGAGAAATGTGATGAGAACATACAACAGCAACACTTAGATCTTTCTGCATCAAAGAATGGGAAAGCAGTTGGATGCTTCTTTCCCAGTAAGGCTGTCACTTTTCCATGGGCCCAAGATGCCAAGCTTAGCTGTCAGCAGGGTCTCACTAATGGGAGGTTGAAGAAGGCTCTTAAATATGCTGAAAGTTGCAGATGAATGTCATCTGTTAAAAGTTTAGATTGGTGCTGTACTCATCTGAAGTTCAGTGAGAATAACTGAGAACAGCACCAATCTACCAAACTACCTCCTATGAGCTTTTAGGGTCCCCATCTCTGCTACCTGTTTCAGGGAGAAACAGCCTGACAGACTGTCCATGTTTCATCACGTGGCTATAAAAGCTATGGGAAGGTTTTCAATCAACACACTTCCCATATATAGTCCACAGTAGCAGGAAATCATTCTCATATGTAACACTTCAGGATTTTGCAGGAAACAAAATGGGTACTACTTTTTCACCCTCTATTAAGAATAAGTTTATAAAGTCTTCTCATATTGATTAGCCAGGTTTAAATGAATTCAGTACTAGCTGTGATTAAAGGATATATACTTATTTTTCTTAATGACTTTCAAGTGGGAACAGATGAGTTTTCCTGCTGTTCACTCTTACACTTTTAACGTAATGTTGGTTAATGAAAACACTAAAGAAATTTTTCACAAGGAGCTATCTGTTTCCAGATGCTAGAAAGCTTTTCTAAAATAGAATTTACTTCTCCAAATTGGGTTGTGCTTTTAAAATGTCACTCCCTAAACATTAGCATAATCAAATGGCATCACTTTTAGGGGAAAAAAAAAAAATCTATTTTTTAATAATCCTGCCGCCTCTGGAAAGATCACAAAGGTTAAATGTCAAGTTTCATATTCTTAAACAAATATCACAAAATAAAAAAAAAACAAGGTCTGAAATATTAGTACTAGGAAGGACACATATTACTTGTTTCAAGGTGCTACAGTAGCCCTTCTTACACCTGTCATTAAAATTTTTTAATAATCTAGATCAAAGGAGATAAGAAAGGTCACTGAAACCAAAGTAGGCTACTTTTTAGCAGTACTATACACAGAGAGCAGGGTGTTGCTTCAGCATGTTAGGTAGTGAACTTCTTTGATCCTACCTATAAATGTCACTCTGTATGTCATTTAATTGTGGTATAGTCTTTTATTGGTGCAATTAAATCTGTTCAAATACATTACATTATCTCCAGCTCTGCTAAAAATCTTGTCATTGTTTAGGAAGTGAGGTAAGTCATTGTGAAATGATGCAGTTGACTTTAGTTTCTTCCTCCCCCTCCATGTGATTTCTCCCAACAATTTTAATTTAAATCTCCCCAAACAGTATAATGGTCCTGGAATTTGTTTAGTCGTTTGACTTCCTTTATCACACAGAGATGGTAAACATTCTGTTGCTAACTTGAAGTGGCTCCAAGCAGCAAAACTAGGATATTAAACCAGTAAAAGCTTATCAACTGATTCATTGATATGCTGTAAATTCCAGCCTTTTCATTTTACTTTTGAGGGTTGCCATAAGTCAACACATTAGTAAGCAATTTGCTGACATTGGCTCACTTAAAAAGGTTTCCCTGTAGACAAAGTTCACCTCGGTGCTTTGTTTCATTGCCTCATTTTATCACAGTCTTGTGCTGCTGTACAGATGACTGATGCAGCTCTGCATACCGATGGGGTATTTCAAATTGGCAGTTTATGCCATCCTAGCCAACCTTTCAGAAGCCACAGACAGAAAATGCAGATGTATGGTATTTTCAGAAATAAATTCAGTTAATCAGTTTCAGTTGTTCTAGGGGGGGAAAAAAAGGTTATTCAGTACTATACATTAAAACATAGTGGGATTTCATAGTTCAATCCTAGTTGCACAAATTGTTGATTTCCTTTCTGTTTACATGAATAGTTCACACTGATTTGCCAGTTAGAAAAAAAAAAAAAAACTGAGTTAAATTTCAGTTACACTTCTTTTTTTTTCTAACCTTAGACTTTATTTGCTGATTGATGGATATGAGTTGGGTCAGGTCATACTGCACAAAATACAGACTTAGCTCAAAGCAGATAGTATCTTAGCAGCAGAGGAACTTCATAGATCCCTGTCTCAGGCAGGAGAAGAGCTTTCCTCTTTATTTTTACAGTTCATGCTCAAGGAGGTTTATGAAAGGACATTCAGGATCACTTAGTGGAATGGGGAAGGGAGACACGTGCAAGCTCAGAGAAGAAACAGAGGCTTCTTGCCTCTGAGGGTAGATGGAACAAGCAACAGAGGCAAAGAAAAGGGCACCACTTGCTTAAAGTGCCCAGCCCTGCTCTAGCCCCTGCTCTCAGCTCTTCTTGGGGGTCAGCTGTCCTCAGCATCACTTTCAGGGGAAAGTGATATGCCCAGCCACAGCACAGTTCTCAAAGGCAGAGCAGATCTTGAAACTGGCCCTAGCTGTTAGCATTGCTCCCCCACTCACCTCCACATAGGCAGAGGTGGGACCATTCTCCTCTACACAGATGCTGGCTATGGGCTGAATTAAAACGTTTTCCTCAGATTTGGGGTCCTGAGAAGCTATTAGAAACCATTAGTTACAGCTGCTTTAGCTCTCTGTTACATCTCCCTCACTTGCTTATAAAAACAGGCCAGGTCTGTTCAAGTTTGATACCAAAATAAATGAAGACCAAGCACAAATCAGGACCAAAAGTGTTTTCAAACAGATTAACCTTTATTTGATGGTGACCCATCAGTTCTGTTACAGTCAGGGGTCACCTTGCCTCGTCCTTCCTGAAGTCAGATTTGAAAATGCAATGCAGTTAAAACTGCAGTGTGGAGTCGATTCAGTTCCAGAACCCAGGTAACAACAGCTCAGGTACAACTTACAAGGGTTGTCATCACATGGCTAAATACATAATCACATTAAAATATTAAAGACATAACCTGATTAAAGTCTAGTGCATTTGTCTTCCATGAGTCACTCAGGGAGCACATGGTGCCATCGTTTGGGACTGTTTGGAGACCACAAAGTGTAAATATTGAAGGAGGCCTGTCCTAGGAGCCTTGTTTATTTGGGTTTTTTGTTTTACACATACCAGAG